GACAAACTCCAAAGAAGGGCTTGTAATTTGATTGATCCTGACATGTCATCTCCACTTCAGTAACTTTTTCACCGACGTGACGTGACTTTCCTCTGTCTTTTCAACAAATATTTTCTTGACAATTGTTCTGATCATTTTTTTTTCCTAGTGTCCCGACTACATGAATTTAAGCCTGCTACTAGATTGGCAACTAGGTCTCACCGTTTTACTGTTAAACTATTTTGAAGTAACCACCACTTCTACTCCAACAGTTTCTTTTCCCGCACTCTTTTTCGTTTCCTTGTTTCAATGAAAACTAAAATTTTCAAAAATTTAAATACAACCTCAATCACCATCTTTTGTCTTCATTTTGTTCATTTTTTTTTATCTCTCTTGAATCCTCCCTATTCTCAGTCTTCTTTCACTTCCTGCAACACCCTGCATACTAGTGGCATTACCGCCTTGCTTGGGGTAAATTAAAAAAAAACAAAAAAAAACATTGAATACTGTTGCCATATCTGGTGCTTCTGCTGTTCATGTCGAGATTCTCAACTAAATCCAAAGATGGATCTGTTATGTAATCGATCCTGACATGGCATCTCGACTTCAGTCACTTTCTCACCGAGCTGGCGTGGCTTCCCTCTGTCTTTTCTACAAATATTTTCTGGTGAACTTTTTGCCTCGACTACATGGATTTGAGTATGCTACTAGATTGACAACAAGGTCCCATTGATTTACATTTGAACTAGCTAGAGGCAACCACCACTACTACTCCAACAGTTTCTTTTCTCGCACTTCCCGCCTGTTGAAATCCCTTCTGATTTCTTGCTTCCCTTCCAACTACAATCTTCAAAAATTTAAATGCAATGTTTATCGTCATCTTCCATTCTCGTGAATTCTGTTCCTTTTTTGTCCTTTCCTCGATCTTATCTTTTCATTTTCACTCCTTGTAACCTCCTGCGTCTTAGTGGCGTTATCACCTTGCTTGTGATGAAACGATTTAAAAAAAGTACAAATAACATTAACCCGTATTTACACTATTTACATTGTTCAATCTATTACCTCGTCATTATTGCCATATTCACGACGTTTCGGCAGTTGTACGCTCTTCTTCAGGTGACAAACGTTGGAATTTCAAACCGAACCCTTTATTTAGTTCACGGGGGTGGATTGTTAAAATTCCCCGTGCCATGGCTTTGGGTAACTTAGTTTCAGTTAATTTATCTTAGTAACTCGACTCTCCAAGTTTTCATCTCCATAGCTGTGGCCAGGTATTGAACTCACAACTCTTTGTTCAAGTGACTTTTTTGGATTACTGAACCAACGCTTTTATTCAGTGGACCATTTATCCTTGTAGATCTATCTACCCCACCCCGTGGACTAAAAAGGTTTCTGTTCGAAATTTCAGCGTATATCAGCTGAAGACGGCCAGAGCGTACAACAGCTGAAACGTCATGAATGTGGCTATAAGGATGAGGACAATAGTGAGAACTATGTAAATAGTGTAAATAGTTACAATACCTCATCTCAGAAATGTAGAGAAACATTAATAGAGTTCCATACTTGAGCTGAAAATCATTCAATGGACTGAAAAACCACAAATGTCCACTTAGCTATAATGTGCAAGCCCAGCGTACAAGATCTACAGTAAGCCGGATAAAGCATTCTTATTTGTCTACGTCCTGAAGGAAAGTGTATCCTTTTAAGAATAGTTTATATCAGGATGCAAGTGATATTTTTTTACCTCATATCTATAAATTATGAATTGCCACACTCAGTCTTGGCAAAGATAGTGGAGTGGTTTCCCGTCTCCATGGTTTTTTATTCAGTTAACTTTCTTTGAAACTGATTGCCAACTAAGGTTCAACAGCCCAATCTGCTCTGTATCACCCATAGAAACAGGGGTGGGGATGACTTTCCCGGATGCATTAGTGCAAAATGGATTTTGAATTTGGCTCGCCGAATTTACATTTCGCGTCGATAACTGTCACCCTATTCTGACATCGACAAAAGATTATTTTATTTTCTTTCGTTTCAGATTCCTTGTTAGAAGGAAAATATTTCTGGAATTGTTGAATAAGTAATTCTCTAAATTACTTTGTTCAATCTTCCTAATTGGTAGTTCTGAGACGAAGAATTTTCTTTATTTCTTTGATATTTTTCTGAATGTCTTCGTTATTTTTTTTTCTTTTCTTTTTGAGCGCATATTTCAGTTGATTTATATTCTTTTAACACTCTTCAGGTGTATGCAGCATATCGTCTTTTGAAGTCGGTAATTATAACACCTGCCAAACAGTGTTTTAGAACTGAGAGTAACGTTTGTTGCAGGAAGCAACACTTTTGGTACGAGTCTGTGTACGTTGTCTAATAAATATTTATAAACTCCTAGAACATTTGTCCCGCAAAAAATATTGGCGGACTCGTGTGAGTCTGGGTAAAAATAAAGAACACAAAACGTGGAATTAAAGACAAATGACAATGCACGTTTTTAACAAAAGGAATTACATGTGTACACAACAGAAATCAAAGGAAAAAACATTAAAACTGGCTATAAAACTGTGCCTGTGTGTGTGAAACCAGCGTGTGTGATATACATGAGTATGTACGTGGGTGCTAGAGTTTAGTCAAGAGAAGACCAAGGAAGTGAACGTGCCCCAGTGGCAGTGTTCTTTATACATGTTCGACTACATCTGAAAGCAACAGGAAAAAAGTGAAAGAGAATATGTTTGCTTTTTTAAATAGTGCCCCCTAACGGAGATTTTTGGCAAAGCCAAGTGGAGTAACCCAAAAGATTTTTTTTCTTTTAAGAAGAGCAACACTAATAAGAAATGTTTAGTCAATTCCAGACAAAGAATTTGCTGTTTTCTTAACCTCTGATCGCAGGAACATTAACAATTGATTAATTAATAATCTCCTAAAGCTGAAATGGCATCACTTTGATTTTTAATAAAGAATTCTTTAATTGTAACTGTCGCTGAAGGGACCACTATATGCATTTCCAGTTTTAGAGACTTTACTAGCACGGCAGCAGTAGTAATAGGGTTAAAATTATGGGGATAGTTTTAATATGCAGTAAAAATAGACATTTATTGCATACATATGTGTTTAACGATTATATCCATGAACCTGCTGCCACATGACCCCATAGGTGTAAGGAACGTGTTCCTTTTTTGGTAAAATTCTAGAATCCGAGCCATAAAAACAAAGGGCATAATTCGTGAGTTAAAATTTATATATATCGTTTATTGTTTTTAATATATTTTCAAATACATTTTTTTTTCGAAATATTGTAGAGGACCCGTTTGGTTTGCGTGTTGTTGAATTAGGAACATGAGCGTTTATTCCTGCTAGAAGGTCCAACTACAAGAACATGGCGGACTCAAGTTGAGTCCAACCGAATATGTAAAGAAAACAAACAAGACAGATATATATATGTCAACAAGTATATGTATTAAACAACAAGATTTACAATGGACATAAACATTAACATTTGTGTTTGTGTGTGTACGTACAGAGTTTGTATATTGGTAAAAGTTCGTACGTACGTGTATGCGTGTTTCATGGCGTTTCCCCATAAATGGACAAAAACGCTGATCTCTACGAGAGATCACATTTTTAAATGCAAGGTAAAAAGAGAACGAGGCAAGAAGTCGCCCACTATTTATAGTATAGGGAGAGCGACCCCTAGAGTGAATTAAGAAATTAAGGAGGAGTTAACTCCGACAATATATATTCAGATATATATTCCCATTTGTGTGGATACTTGTTGGTTCTTTCGTTCCGGGATGCTAGTATGTTTGGGTGAATATTAGTCACCATTATCTGACGGGAATCTACACTTTGGATAGTAAATATTTATGGACTCCTGGAACATTTACGCCCAAACAATATTGCCGGACCCAATGTGAGTCCAGGTAAAATATGATAATACAGAAACAAAATAAATATAAAACAAACGACAATGTATGTATTAACAGAAAGAATTACAGCGATAGACAATTGTAACGAACAGAAAAACATTTTATAATAAGAATGTGTGTGTAAAACAAGCGTATGTGTATATCCGTATGTGAGTGCATACAAACGTCAAGAGGGAGAAAACCATGAAAATGAACCTTTCCCACTGGGGAGACACTTTACCTATGTGCAACTACATCTGAAAGCAAGAGTTCAAAAGACTAAAAAGAGTGAGTGAGAATATTATTGCCTATTTATAGACTTAAAGAGCGCCACCTAGCGAGCGCTTTTGGCAAAGCCAAGTAGGATAACCCACACATTTTTTTCCTTGAGAAAATGCTTTAAATGAAGCCAGCTATAAATCTCTATTGTTTGAGCACGAACTAAAGATTGATGTAAATCAACAAAATTACTTTCATGAATTTATAACTATGTGATTGTAGCCCCCAAATCATATAGCCCATTATAAGCGGACCAGCCATCACTAATGAATCGTATAACCTTGTTCAATATGTCTTTGGATGACAGCTTCTAGAGAATGCTTCTTGATCTATCAGGAGAAAATTCTACAGAGTAATTAAATTCTTCAGAATTTCTTCCAATTCTTACAAAGAGCCATTGTTAATGTAACATTCGGCTGCGGTTAAATTTTCTTTTTACAATCAATGATTCCTTGATCTTCACTATTTTGTATGGACCTCCAATTATATTACCAAAGATTTTTTTTTCAATGAAATAGCAGCAAAATCACCTTACAAAATCTGAACCCGTCAACTCAACTACTGTTTTATTTGAGTAACTGTAGTCACTTAAAATAAAATCAAACACTCGGATATCCTTTAGCTCATAAATGTATTAACAAAACTACTTTCATTTTTATGCGTAAGTGAATATAATGAACTCGATCAGAATTGGAACTCGGATCTCCGATTTCCAATTGCGAGCCATTATCCATCTCGGTATTGAGTAGGCTCCATATTGTTTAACTTCGGTGATCGTACGGGAACCGATGTTTCCGCATGATATTACTGTAAGCTCATTACACCACTCGCACATCCAAGTTTATAGCACCTGCTATTCCCAAGCGGTCACTCATCTAGGTACTGAGCAGGGACGATGTTGCTTAACTTTGGCGATTGTATCGAAACCTGTGTTTCAACGTGATGTGACCGTAAGGCATTACCACCTGTACATTCACGCTTACAGCGGCTGATATTCCCAAGCGGTCACTTATCTAGGTACTGGCCAGGTTCGACGTTGCTTAACTTCGCCGATCATACAGGAACCGGTGTGTCAACCTGATGTGGCTGTAAGCCCATTACACTCCCCCACCCGGACATTCATGCTTACAGCACCTGATATTCCTGTAAGTCTTCAGTTTCTGGAATAGGCTCCCCAGATTAACCTTTTATGCAACTATCATTTTTTTGTATTTGATATACTGATATTAGATTCTCTTATCTTGAAACAAAACATTGTACAGAGCGCTCGATGTGGGCGAAACAAGCTATAGGAATAAGTCTGTGGCTGTATGGCAAATTACTTTTGATGTTTTCTTTGCTTATTCTATCAAAGCACCATTCAAAATCAGTACAGTAATAAGAGTTTGTTGAAAGCAGCTTGCCAAACCAGTGGGACATTCGTAAACATTTAAGATCTATATACAAACATTCAACTGCCAGAAGACAGATTATAGTCAACAGCAAGACAAAAGGTCCAAGATGCGACTTACCAATTGGAAAAATAAACATGAAGCAAATGCAGAAGTTTAAATAACATGTAAAATTTTTCTGATCAGAATCCATCTTGCACATTTATCAATCAACCATTCGTCTGTGCATTGAATACTGTTGCCATATCTGGTCTAGTGCTCCTGCTATTCATCTCAAGGTTCTTGAGAAAATCCAAAAGATCTGTAATGTAATCGATCCTGACCTGGCATCTCAACTTCAGTCACTTAAGGGGAGGTAACTGATTATTTATCAGTACACTGAGCACTGTAATCGATCCTGACCTGGCATCTCGACTTCAGTCACTTTCTCACCGACGTGATATGGCTCCTTTCTATCTTTTCTACAAATAGTTTCATGGCAACTGCTCTGTCGATCTTTTTTTTTCTGGTGCCTTGATTACATGAATTTATGCATGCTGCTAGAGTGGCATCTAGATCCTTCTTCTATGCCACTAGTTTATTCTCTTGCACTTCCAGCCTGTGGAACTCCCTTCCGTTTATTTGTTTCCCTGGTAACTACAACCTTCAAAAATTTAAATGCATCTTCTGTCGTCTTGAATACCGTTTATTTTTGTCCTTTCCTTAATCCTCCCTATACTTCTCTCTCACTTTCACTCCCTGTAACCCTACCCCCCCGCGAATTAGTGGCAGTTTTTCTCCTTTTGCTAAGACTTCCGCCCTCCCCGCTGTTCCGCTATCCATTCACACAAGTGAGTGGATTGCCTTCCCCTATCTCTGACGCCCTGAATATGCCCCATGAGGGTTAAGTTTTCCAAGCCCCCCTTCCTCATGTCCACGGAATTTTAACTGTCTTTTCTTGATTCTGAGTAGTGTTCGTCTGTTGCGATTTTCTTTGACTTCCTTGTTTACTTGCTCCATTCATGGGATTCTCAGTATCCTTCTGTAGACCCATATTTCTGCTCCTTCTAAATTTCTTTTACTCATCGGTGGGTGATATTGTTCACCATTCCCTGCCATATAAGAGGATGGATATCACATATCAAACCAGCACTCAATTCATTGTTTTTAATGAAATCTTTGGTTCTCAGTACTTTGCTTATCTTTTGGAAGACATCTTTCACTCATCCAATGCATGTTCGGATCTCAGTGTCAAATTTTCTATGCATACTTTTTTTCTTAATTATTCCACCCTAAGCAAGGCAGGAATGCCACTAGTACACAGATTTGTCAATATGCAAGATGGAATCTTACATGAAAAAAAATTCTAGAAGGGCACAGTGATCCAACTTTACTTTGAGTAGTGTATCATTTCAAGAAAGAGAACTTATTTTTTTTTAAATTTTCCAACAAGATAAGTGATTAGTTCTCTTCAGAAATTAGATTGATCTGGCCAAAGAAATGAAATACAAAATATTCACATCCCAAAAAATCTGTCTGCAAAGCAGTCATAGAATAAAATGAAAAGGATTAAAAATTATATGACATGTAAAACTGCCTAATTCAGCATGAAATGACCTATAGGTTGCTGTACTGGTAAACAATACTGTACCTTATCTTGAATGCAGACTGCAGTATTGCTTTTTCATCTTCTTATGTGGGTGTTTACCAAGAGAGTAGCTTTCCACAGAAAATTTTCTTTGGCCCTCTACTGTCATTCATTCGGGCCATATGCCTAGCCTAGTGTAATTGATTTTTCATTACTATAGGTTCTATGCTAGTTAATCCAGACAGCTTCAATACTCTGGTGTGAATTAGCCTCAATTATTATTGAGCATCCTACAGAGGCTGTTTTGATGGAAACACCCAGGAATTTTAACATGTCTAATTGTGAGGACAAACTTTTAATCAAGACTTGAGAGCAAATAAATTAGTAATTCTCTACTTGGTCAGTAACATTTCCTTGAGAGTGCTGTGAACGTTCAAATTAGCATTAATCATGACATAATGGAATAACCTGTCACCCCTATGAGTAACTACACTGTAGGTAGTAACTACCTATAAGTATCTGTAAGTCAATAGACTACAGAGACTAGCTGCGACCTGTTCCAGCTAAACAGTCGAACTCTCTGCCTCTGAGCAGAGAGGAACCCCGAAGAGGCTCCGCCAAAGGGTAGTCTCGTTCGGGGAGGTAGACTGCCCCTGAACCCATTTATATGGGTCCAAAAGGAAATATTTTTGGCCGAGCCTATGGGCTCGGAGAACCCACGTTAATCCGGCCTTGTGCCACATGCAACTCTCGTGGGGGAGTAACTAAATATTCTAGCTGGGATCTGTTGAGTACAACTCAGACTTATGCGAGATCTACCGACTTTCCAATAGTAGTACTCACTACTGGATTGACTTGCAATAACCTTGTGCATAACTTACCTTTATTCTTATTGTATTGGTCTTTACAATAAACCTTTACTTATTTTATCCACCATGTTTTTCAAGTATATATTCCTATTAGCACGGAATATAACAAATCATTTCACCCCAAGCAAGGTAATAATGCCACCAGGATGCATGGGGTTACTGAGAATGAGAGAAAATGAGTAGACTTTAGTTAGGAGAAAGGACAATAAAGGAACATGGTTCAAGAAGACAGAAGATAGTGACTGGGTTGCATTTAATTTTTTGAAGATTCTAGATTTTGTGATGTCAGTGAACACTTGTTGCCACTTTTGTGATGTCAACAAATACTTGTCACTTTTGTAATGCTTGTTGTAGTAGAGACTTTGTAATTGCAGATACAACTATAGTAACCCTGTTGAACAATGCTGGTGTCAGATACCTTCAAATAATCTCACACTAATAGTACATGCTTGATAATACTCACTTGAAAGTAGCCACTGAATAGTAATCTGAGTAGAAAAATGGTATAGTGAATAGAGTAGAAAATAGCGGTCTGTATAGTATAGAGGATAGAATAGAAATAGCAATCTGAATATTAATAGAGAATAGACTAGAAAGATCCATATAGTATAAAGGATAGACTAGAAATAGTTGTCAGCTACTTCCTACATATATGCATTTCCTCTATGGTCACATGGTCTACATAATTCAATAATGGGATCGCCTGTGTTTGCTCACTGGTGATCTATGTTCAAACTCAAGTGTCGGCAAGGGATTTTCACAAGCAAGAAATGAAGCTATTAGAATAGAACTTAGTCCAGCAGTAAAACAGTGAAACCTAATAGCCAATCTAGTAGTAGACTTAACTCCTTGGTGCCTTGATTGCATGAATTTTTTAGGGATGTTAGGAGGGTAGTTGAAAGAAACAAAAGAAATTACCAAGTTGGGATTATGAGTACTTAATAATTTCGTGGTCACTAAAACACCCCATGTGACTTATGCAGGGTGGAGGCTGAAAACTCCCCTGATGTACATCTTGTGGATGCTGATTAATTATAAAGTGTATAATGATAGAATGCAAAGGATATACACATGCATACACTGTAAGTACTGGAATATACCAAACTTCAAGATACTATTTTAAAAAAAAGTACCATCTCTCGGTTACTAGGCTTCCTGAGAGAAAAAGGTCTTCTTAACTCTTTGAGCCCTGTGTTCCTGAACAATTTTAACCCTCCTGCCTGAGCTCCTGAGTCAAAATTCACAAATAATTGGTATATAATGTTACTCAGTAGATATAAAAATAGTTGCAAGTGTTTACCCACTGTTCAACTGGTGGCTGAGCATTGAGTCATTTTTCTCTACCACTGTTCAATCGGTGGCTTGACATTACGTCATTTTTCTTTACAACCGGTAAAGTGGTGGTCAAATGGTTAAACTCTTGTAGATACAACACACATGCATGCACACATACACACACACACAAGATTCCACAAAATATTTGTTTATAATACAGAATATTCACATTTTATTGAACATAGGCACATATGGATAATTGAGGTGGGGCTAATTGGAATGATGTAAAAATAATGTTGCAAGATGACAAATATAAACAATAAAGAGATAAATGGTATAAAAATGAATTTGTTCATTTTCTTTTTTTTATAACTCTTACTCTTGATGATGTACGGTTTCAAGGAAGAGAATTTATTTTTTTCAATTTTCCAACAATATAAGTGAAGCGTTCGTTTGAGAAATTAACCTGACCTGACCATAGAAAGGAAATCACTTAGAACATGAATGTGATTTTGTGTTTGGCTGTTGGCAAAAGACCAAAGATGTTCTGGAACGATAAAAGAAGAACAAGATAAAAATTTCTTACTTCTTGATTGAAGTAAAATCAATTTTTTTTTCCTCATAATTTTTCCTATTATTTTCCTTCATAAAGAAAAATAAAATATAACTTGTTTATAACTCAATTACCTCCTGGGAATATAGGGGAAAATATATTCTTTAATCGACAAATCTTTTAAAAGCAACAAAAGAACAGGATTGTTCATCTTCTAATCACCATTTTCCAACATTTGCTAATACACTGCTTCTCATATTATTAACAAGTTTATATTTTATTGATATATCTACTGCTTTATAGAATCAACTCCCAAGACAATGCTTCCCTCATTACTACAATCTTAGTCTATTCAAGTCTAGGGTCATCTGTTACCTTACCCATATATCCCCCATAAAATGTGCCTCTTATTCTGTAACCCTCTACCTTGAGTGTC